CTGTGGACGAGAAAGTGGGTGTTTGGGGTGATTCATGTGAGTAATTGATTGGTGTTTGGGGTGATTCATGTGAGTGATTGATTGGTGTTTGGGGTGATTCATGTGAGTGATTGATTGGTGTTTGGGGTGATTCATGTGAGTGATTGATTGGTGTTTGGGGTGATTCATGTGAGTGATTGATTGGTGTTTGGGGTGATTCATGTGAGTGAGTGATTGGCAGGGCTTTGTGTGTAAGTTCTCGTGTGAGTATACTTGCTTAATTGGGCTTGTGAAGTGTGAGAGTTAGCTCTTGAGCCATCTTGAGATCTTCTTGAGATGATTTCGGGCTTTTTAGTGTCCCCGCGGCCCGGTCCTCGACCAGGACTCCACCCCCAGGAAGCAGCCCATGACAGCTGACTAACACCTAGGTACCTATTTTACTGCTAGGTAACAGGGGCATAGGGTGAAAGAAATTCTGCCTATTGTTTCTCGCCGGCGCCTGGGATCGAACACAGGATCACAAGTCCAGCGTGCTGTCCGCTCGGCCGACCGGCTCCGGCCGATACGGAGTCGGTCATACGTTCGGCCATACGTCTCGATATTCCATCGATTGGTAAACTTTTCAAACTGTTTTTGTATGTAAATGAATATAATTTTTGAATGTGTAAAATATAAATTACTTTCAATCGCCCTAGGACCCCCTCATGATGTTAGCCTCATTAGGAGTTGGAGAGACTCCCATATGTTTCATAGTTCCACCTTTAAGGCTCCGTCAGACGGAAAGGGAAAATAGTCGGGTCCTGCACCTTGGTCAGTAGTTTATTCCTGAACAACTCGAGTCTTTTGCACGTGTTTAAAATCTCCGAAGTTCTGCATAGTAAGTTTTCCAATATCGAGCTTCCCCAGCGGGAGATTTACCGCATCCAGTTTTTACTGCGCGAATTTTCATTTCCAAGTCCTCCTCCTTCATGGATTTTTAATTATTGACGTTTTCACTGCTCGAATACTTGGTCCCGGGGCTCGAGCACTCCATAATTGAGTTCCTGCGAGCGTTCTCCTTCACGATATATTTCTAGGCGAGTTTTCTCTTCTTGAGGTCAACCTCCAGCGCGTTTCCATTCTCAAGGTCTTCCTGAACCTATTTTTTTTTATCTCGAATGTCGTCCTCGTGCTTGAGTTTTCAGGCTTCGAAGTCATCTTCCTGTGGGAGGTGATTGCCAGCCGATGGTCGACTGTAATAACATTGGAGGAAACTTTATCTTCTATCTCTGTCATATCAGCGAATTAGAACTATTTATGTTATTTTGTGCATTGAGGCGCCCTAAACATAATTGAAGGGGTTGACAGACATATAGACTAACTTGCTGTCCAGCGGCGTTAATAACGTAGGGAACCTCGTTCGTAGTAAAGGGAAATATTGCATGATTACCAATGCTCTATGACAGGAAATGTAGTTAAAGTCCTAATTTATGTTGTATTATGACTCAATGTATACAGGGTATTATTGACATAAAAAAGAAGCCCCTGGATTTGTATCAATGTTATCTTTTCAGTATGTGACCTAGAGATATCGCTGAGAGTGCGTCAGTAAAACGACGTTGACGCTGGTGGGTTATACTCACAATATCTCACTTATACATAGTCTGAGTTTGTTGTTATAACTGAAGTGTTTTGTCTGTGGAGTCACATACTGTACACATCGTAGCCCGCTTCGATGTGTAGTCAAGAACCATAGTTTCTTTATCCTTTCCGGGCGAGCTGGACGTCAACTCAAGGTTGAAGGCAGGGTGGTGGTCGAACATTGGCCAGTTTAGTACTACGATCATTCACGTCCACGAGGTGATGGGGTTCGTGGAATGATCCAATCTGATGTAATTAAATATTGTCTGACGATTAAATCAGACAATTTTCATTTTTCTGGCCTGTCTCCAACTTTGATTAAACGTCCATCATGCCAAAGGGAATTAAGACACTATGGCTCCTGATACTTCATCCTGCCATATGCATTACTTTGAATAGCTACTTGATTATTTTTATTCGGCAACCGCTCCCTGAACATGAACTTGGTGCAACTAATTGGCCTTTTTTTTAGAACAGCTGCTGAATTGTTCTGGTGTCTCCTGATGACAATAAACAGCAGGCGTTGTTCTTCCTTATATATTCCCATAGTTCACTTTACTTTCTCGTCGAAATGGGGGTCCAGAGCTGGTAAACAAGTCGACCAATTACGTCTCAAGATGTGTTTTGGGGTCTTCCTTTGAGCCAATCATTACATGGCTTCCGGCAGCGAGTCCATTCTGACATCACTTCTCTATAAACCGGCATTGATCGATTGTTCATATTTTCTACCATTGGCCAATCCAGTGAGATCTAGCAATATTTGTGGTGCATGCTAATTGGTTTGTGCTTCTCTGATCAATCCCCATTGGTGAAATTAAGTGACGTATGCAAATCATGGTCATTCATTCTTAATTTGTATTTCATGTGTTTAAATTGCTCTTATACTTCCATGAACTGTTGTTAATTACAATAAATCTCATACATTTGATAAAATATAAAGAAAATGAAAGACGAATTTACAACCGAGTTGGAATCGAGCATCGCAGGATTCTCTCTTTAATTTTTTTTTTGCCTGAGACACTGGCATATTCAGGGTTTGATCCCAAGGTTAAACGAAGGACAGACGTTGTGTGTGTGTGTGTGTGTGTGTGTGTGTGTGTGTGTGTGTGTGTGTGTTTACCTAGAGTGCTTGCAGGGGTTGAGCTCTGCTCTTTCGGCCCGTCTCTCAACTGTCAATCAACTGTTACTAACTACATTTTTTCCCCCACACCACACACACACCCCAGGAAGCAGCCCATGACCGCTGACTAACTCCCAGGTACCTATGTACTGCTAGGTAACAGGGGCATTCAGGGTGAAAGAAACTCTGCCCATTGTTTCTCACCGGCGCCCGAAATCGAACCAGGGACCACAGGATCACGCGTCCAGCGTGCTGTCCGCTCAGCCACCGGCCCCCTGGTGTGTGTGTGTGTGTGTGTGTGTGTGTGTGTGTGTGTGTGTGTGTGTGTGTGTGTGTGTGTGTGTGTGTGTGTGTGTGTACATCAAACGTGAAGAATACAGATATTATTGAAGATATATGAAAACTAGAGACGTGAGGAAAAACTCTGGTTTTCACTGAGGGGAACACCGGGGCAACGGCCCATGAAAGAGATGTCTAAATCAGTTCGGGAAATGTCTTACAAGAGGCAGGCCACTTGCCTGAAGTGAACGTGGTTTGTGTGGGGAGAGGAGGAGGGTGGTAGTGGTGGTTGTTGAGTGTTCTGGGGTCATGACAGAAAGTTGTTCCGGGTTAGGATACCAGGAAATGGGGGTAGAAATAGCCTAAGCTACTCTATCCCTTTGAGATATTTATTTCTATCTCTATCCCTTTGAGGTATTTCTTTCGTGTCTCAAGAAACATACTTGAGTACCAGGAAGTGGATCCTGCGAAGTATTGATGTCGGTGCTGTGTGATGCTGGATAATGAGGTTACTGGATGATGGGAGAGATTTGTGCATGCTGTCAAATATGCTGATGTTTGGAGAGCTATGTGGATGCTGGGAAACATGTATGGATTGTGGGAAAGATGTGTGGATACACGAGATAATACTAGCATCTCAGGTGCTATATACAGATGCAAGAGGGAGCATCCACAGCTTAAGAATATCAAAGAAGTCGAGCGAGATAAGCCATAACTACGTTGAGGTTAACTTGAATTGGTTTGAAAATCAGTATCCACGCGACCCGATCTCTGACTTCGACTTCTGATTGACGGCCAGATCAACCAACCTGTTGAAACGCTATTGCACACAGTCTAGTTGAGAACCCTTTGGAGGTCTTCAAGTTCTCTCATGAACAACGAAAGAGGTCGGATAGACACATACAAGTGAGTACAAAAAGAGTGTGTGTGTGTTTGAGAACACACACACACACACACACACACACACACACACACACACACACACACACACACACACACACACACGAACATATCACCTGTTTGCATGTAAACACACACCTCGTACCACGTAACTTACAATCTTCCCAATGAAAGATTCCCTTCCCCAATCCTACCCGAAACGCTTTGCGTAATAGTGGCTTTAGGCATTGTATGTACTAGCTCTATCTATAAATCTATCAATTTTTGTAAAACCTCTTGTATGTATGTACCTTACCTGAATAAACATTTATTTATTTATTATTATATTTATGAAGTTCATACTCTTAGCTATAGTTGTGTTTATATAACAAAATGTAAAAGTTTCCACATTCATTCATCACTAATATTTGATATTTTTCTCGACTTCAAAAGCACAGCGGCGGATTTAGTTTCACAATTCTTTATTTGTCATTTAATAGAGTAATTATATAATTATCTATTATGATTGTCTTCACAGAGTCTTCAGGGATATTAGGAAGCCTCGTCTAACATGTCCCTATCGTGAAGTTGTTTATATATTTTTCAATAAGTTTTATAGATACTTCAATGATATTATCTCTGAGCATTCGAGGTCCAATTGCACCATCGTGGGAAAATTATATTATGGAATTTCTGAGCTGATTGCATGATCTTAATAAAAGTTTTGTGAATTTTTTTAACTAATTGAGGAATATATTGTCTATCATTCTGATCATCATAAGCTGTTTCTATTTAAACTAAAAGTAATGATAAAACAAAGCACTTATTGACTATTATATAATTTTTTCATTTATATTCCGCTTAAAATATTACTATTGAAGCTATTTTACTAAAAATAGTATATAAATAAAACATTAAAATTAATACTGTATGTAAAATTGTATCGTTATATTTGGTGTTGAAACAATCTTAAATGAATTGTTACAATCAAGTGCCCTAATAATTGGTGTAGGTAAGGTCATAGCCCAACATTATTGTAATAACGTGCCTTTGTTCCCTCAGCTTAATAATGTTTCGGTGATAATGGTCTCTAGAGCGTCCCATTGTTCCGGGTTAAATAGTG